ATTAAGCATATTGGAATAAATGTGATGCAAAAGAAGATGACCTAACGACCGTAACCAGATGTAGAGATTAAATAAGACTGATATGGATTTCATCGGCTTTGTTTGGGGATTTACTAGTTTTTCTTCTTTTTGTAAAGGTGTCAGAGTTGGACCGGTAGTGCTGGGGTCCACTACGGTATGTGTATTCGTTTCTTGTTTGTTTATTTAATTCTCTTGTGTTGTTCTGCTTCATTTTGTGTACTTTTTCTTATTCTGTTTCTTATAGCGTTGAAGAGAGCCATAACTTAAAGGTACTTAGTAACATTGTGATGGTTGATTTCACAAATCTGTTGAATCAGGATGCAAAACACGTAAAATTATGTTTGTATGTATGGATTATCCAACTACGTTGCCCCAAATCCGAAATTAATTCACGCAATATGAAGATTTTTAACAAAGTTCAACGGATCGATGTGCGGCTTATCATCATAATCGTTATCATCTTTAAATATCATCATCGTCATCAAGCTTCATTATTATGATCATGGTTTTCATCATGGGAGAAAATTCTCCCAACCATTTTTTGAATTTTCCCAACCGTTTTTCCATGAAAAAAAGACATACAACAGGCTATAAAAATGTAGAGCCATTTTATTGCTTTGTGAGATTTCCATTCACCTAAAATGTAATTAAATTGTAATAATATAATTGGGAGAATTAAGGAATCGATCGGATCACTTTTTTCCGATTTGTACAATGAATAATGGTCCGTTTTCGCTCAAATTTTCAGATTATCTTTAATTGTACATCTAGCATTGCACTGCCTTAGCACCACTATCTCTCATCTAAACAATGTTACAAAGTCCCTTTAAGCTTTTCGACTTGAACTCATCAGAGTAAAACGCAAGAATGAAACAGAAAGCCGAAATCGATCAATATTACAGAAACTAAAAGGAAGCAAGGCGAGAATATAACGAGCGCTGATTGGCTGTCAAAGTTAACGGTAAATTAGGCTTATGCCAGCCGTTTATACCAGGAAACTGAACATCAGTTTTTAAGCGAGAGTCAAGGGCTGACGAAGTAACTTAAAATCATACTTCATTTAAAATTTTGTTCAATTAGTTTAGCTAACAGCGTAGACATAATTTGGAAAGTCGCCGACTTGGTTGATCTTTCTAAACTTGAAGTTGCATCTTCCGAATATTGATCCAGGTTCTAGGACAATTACCCCCTGGGCAATCACCCCCCGGAAATTTACCCCCCGGAAAACTACCCCCGAAGGACAATTACCCCCCGGAAAATTACCCCCCGGAGAATAACCCCCCGAGGACAACTACCCCCAAAGGACAATAACCCCCCGGAAAATTACCCCCCGGAAAATTACCCCCGAGGACAACTACCCCCCGAGGACAATTACCCCCCAGAAAATTACCCCCCGGACAACTACCCCCCGAGGACAATTACCCCCCGAGGACAACTACCCCCGAGGACAATTATCCCCCGAGGACAACTACCCCCGAGGACAATTACCCCCCGAGGACAACTACCCCCCGTGGAAAATCGGGATTCAATAGCAAAAGACGATCTGATACATTGAGAGATGGCTACGAGCCTATAAGACCCCTTCATGAACCCATATTCGTTCAAATACTAGCACGTTGTCTTCCTCGTTACTAAACATTCCCCTTTATATAGAACGGCAGTGCGGCTACTGATTTCCACGAAGGATGTAAGTTTTAGGTAATCGTCAAGTGCTTCTCAAAATGCATAGAAATACATTTCTCTTGAACAGCGTTATTTCAACTTTTTGAGTCATGGTACCCTCTTAAGAAATGAAAAGTTTCTCCCAAATCCCAAAGTCTTCACAGGCTATCTATTTTGCATGACCCAGGCACTCGTCAAGTGCTATGTTCATGGGTGTCGATCCCGGGGGGGGGGGGAGGGGGGTGTACAGTCATTCCTTCCCCCTAAACTATTCACCATCACACAAAAAATGAAGAGAAACATTAATGATGAGAGCCCGATGAGAGTAGTTAATGGTTATTACTCGCGAGATGACCATCAATATACACACTTTGCTATCTCATTTCCATAATACATACGTAAATGAGACATCCGTATATGAGACAAGAATAAATTGAATTCTCTCTCATACGGCTTCATCAGGAATTGATGAGAGACTGAAAGGATACAGGCGCGTAGCCAGGGGGCGGTCGCCCCCCCCCCCCCAAAAAAAAAAAAAACCGCCGGCCAAAAATAAAGAGAGAGAGAGAAAGAAGAAAGGAAGAGGACGTAGGAATAAAAAAGATTAAGAGTCGAGAACGGTACAACGAATCGTCTTCTTTCTCTAATCATTTAATGAAATGTCAAAAGAAATTGAATTTAGACAAGGATTAAGAGTCGAGAACGGTACAACGAAACGTCTTCTTTCCCTAATAATTTAATGAAACGTCAAAGCTTCGCGCAGGAGGGGGGGGGGGACTGAATTCAGACAAGGATTAAATGTCGAGAATGGTATCGTTTTCTTTCTTTATCAATTTAATGAAATGTCAGAGCTTCTGCGCTATGCGCGGAGGAAGGAGAACTACATTCAGACAAGGATTAAGAGTCGAGAACGGTACAACGAATCATCTTCTTTCTCTAATAATTTAATAAAACGTCAAAAGAAATTGAATTTAGACAAGTATTAAGAGTCGAGAACGTAACAACGAATCGTCTTCTTTATCTAATAATTTAATGAAACATCAAAGCTTCCGCGCTTCGCGTGGGACGGGGAACCCCCCCCCCTTCCTGCAGCCACCCCCTATAGGGAGCGCTCTTCGCACGCTTCGCGTGCTCACTACCGCCCCCCTAAAATCAAATCCTTGCTACGCGCTTGAGAGGATAATAACCAAAGTTGCAAGCCCACATGGGTCCCATATTCTCTGAAATGTTATCTTTATTGAGGGTGACTTGAAAAAAAATTAATAAATTGTAAGGGAGGGGGTGCAACCTGCCACACGCTTCTACCTCTTTGTTGCCTTGATCCATTGCCGAAAATATTTTGGCACCTATCATCCCCCCCAACCACGGATAAAAATCGACACCGTTGTGACCAACAATGACGGTCGCATACTACCGGGTACCCATTTAACACCTGGGTGGAGAGTAGCAGGTGCAGGTTAATATCTTGCCAAAGGATATTAGTGCCGGTGTCGTGATTCGAACCCTCGACCTGCGCATATCATACTCCCGCATGACAACATAAATATATAGATAACAGAAATATATAGATAACGTTAATTTCGGATCATGGACGAGGGCCCATTATACAAAGACAAATACACGATCAGCTTATTTAAAAAGTTACAGAGGATGCATAAATGAAATATTACATCTTAATTTCTTTGTTTTGCCATTGTTGGTGAGAGAGGCTGTAAGGCGTACTCATCTGGGCGCAATGTATTGTTGAATTTCTTTAAAAAATGTAATTTCTGTTCTTTACTCGGAAGCAAAACTTCGGGGGAATTGGGCAACTCCCACCCCCCCCCCCATATCGAAGTGAATAATTTGAAAACACTGAAAGGAACTTCACAAATAACATAGAAATTGAAAGTTTATGACATTTTCTGTAAAGAGCAATTTGAAGAGAAGCTTGCATTATTTGTCACAGTGTTACAAATTCCTCGGGGGTGATCGTCATTGGGGGTAGTTGTCTTTGGGGATAGTAAATGTCCTTAGAGGAGGGGGGTAGTTGTACTTGTGGGGAATTGTCCTCGGGGGTAGTTGTCCTGGGGGGGGTAATTGTCCTCCGGGGTATTTGTCATCGGGGGTAATTGTCATTGGGGGTAGTTGTCCTCGGGGGGTAATTGTCCTCGGTGGGTAGTTGTCCTCAGGGGGTAATTGTCCTCGGGGGGTAATTGTCCTCTGGGTAATTTTCCGGGGGGAATTGTCCTTGGGGGGTAATTGTCCGCGGGGGGTAATTCTCCGGGGGGTAATTTTCTGGGGGGTAATTGTCCTTGGGGGGTAATTGTCCTCGGGGGGTTATTCTCCGGGGGGGTAATTTTCTGGGGGGTAATTATCCGTGGGGGGTAGTTTTCCGGGTGGTAATTTTCCGGGGGGTGATTGCCCAGGGGGTAATTGTCCTGATACGATTGATCCATGCTAATAAAGACTATTAGTGATAATAATATAGATATTCCCGCAGTTAGTTTTGCAGATTGTAAGGTCTATTTGTTAAAATGTTCATTCAATTAGGTGAAAACACCTTTTTTCGGCAGCGGAGACTGTCATTTTCATTCGGAAATGTGCTTCAGTCATTCTATTTATGCACTTTGGCCATTCAAATTCATTCCGCCAAGGCGGAAACAAAAAGGGGGATAAGAAGAAGGAAACGGGGAGAGGGAAGGGGATTTAAAAAGAAGATCCCCTTCAAGACCCTTCCCATATTTTTTATTTTTTTTTGGTATGGCTAGGAGTAAACAAGAATTCATTCGTAACCCTTGTGGGCATTTCTTTAAAAAGAAATTATCCTAATGCAAAGGGGCTCTATCTCTGATATATTTCTATTTTGACCAAAATTCTCTGTCAATGTTATCCCACTAAGTTTTAGGGGATAACATGCAAGAACTGCTTCTTTAGCATGCTCGTCCGTTTCGTTTTATTATTAACGTGTTCCGTTATTTTTTTCAGTTCTTCAGTTGTTACATGTGTGTCTTATTGCATTGTTTTTATGTCATTATCGATTTTTAAGGAGTTTTTACATGTTAAATTATGTAAATATTTAAACGGAAATAAATCATTTCAATCAAATCATTCTGAATGTTTACACATTTCAGGTATAGCACCCATTATAAATATGATCACATCCATACGTTTAGATGCTCCACACATCCCCCTCTCTCCCTCTCTCTCTCTCACTCCCTCCCTCTCCCCCATTTGGTGCGGACTAATATACAGTGAACCCTAGGATGGTATATTATTTGTTTCACTTATGTTTTACCTGGAAATTAAAGTATGCCCTGTTTGTTTTCAAATGATAGGAAGCTACTATTGCTGCTGCTACTACTACTGCTGCCGCTACTACTGCTGCTGCTACAAGGGTTGTGGTGGAAAGCAAGATAGGTAAGTATCAAGCTAGATCTACCGGGGTTGTCTCTCATAATCACTCAGAACCTCTTAGGTCTCGTTCACATCCGATCCGAACCCGCGGAGGTGTATATACAATGTTAGTCCAAAAAAAGTTTACACCTAAACATTCATTTATAAACAATCAATTATTATACATCTTATGGAAGCGTGTGTTATCCCAAATAATTTGGTATCATTTTTGTGTGGTATATGGTCACGCTTGGATGAACAGGAGACATGTGTAAGAGTGCAATTATCGACTTGTGCCTGTAATGGTTATGTGATGTTTGTATAAAACAATGGGGATTTGGGTATTAATTCGGTCTTTGCAGATCCAAATGACATCTCCATCAAAATTAATCATCCCACACATATAAAATCATACATGAAGTCACACTCAGTCAGTCAAACACACACATACACACGCACCCGCACACACACCGACACACACGCACACACACAGACACAATTCTTTGCACTCGTACACTCAGATAAATGAAAAATACACGCAGCCAAGTCATTATTACGGAATAAACATTTTTTTTTTAAATCGCAAATTTCCCATTTAATATCAAAATGGAATTTAAAATCAATCATAATGCCATAATGAAAGTTTGGTGCATTAACATGTATATAAATTGTTTCTCTCAAAGGACTCGGTCAGTCTGCATCTTAATGTATGTGAGTGTGTGTGTGTGTGTGACTTTGCTTCTGAAAAAAGGCATATGCAATGTATCTAATTTATGCATTCAATTCATTCGCTCACTTAAATACGTTTGCGCAGATTGATCTTTGAACTCTCTCAATCAATGCCTCCTGTTCATCCAAGCGTTAAGACATAACACACACAAAAAATGATACCACCTGATCCGGGATATAACACTTTTACAAATCGTTTATAGCTGACTTTTAAAATAAATGCAAATTTTCTTTTTCTTAAAACAGTAATGCTTATAACATAGATAAGTAAATACGTGAATAACTTTGTTATGCACAGTTGCAATTATTTTACACGTTAAGGGCTTTTTTCAAAACAGTTACCCATCAGAACGGCACCTCCCTCTTTACCGTATAAGGCGAAGTCCCCCCCCCCCCCCTGGGGTAGAGAGTGGCAATGTAAATGAATATCTTACCGAAGGGTGTGATTATATAGATTTATATACATACCTCTCTTCAGAAATCTAACCATCTTATTGGTAGAAATTGCAGTCGTAATTTTAGCCATTCCCTTAAAGAGACGAACGATGCCAGTAATGATCAATTGTTCATGAGTGATATTCCCGCAAGATTCCGGGTATCCGGATCTCGATTGTAGCTAGGCGTAGATCTACATGTAATGATGAGATGATGCCCCTTTGGAAGCATGGAGATAAACCTGCGTTTTCATTTGACATCTCATTACTTTAGTATCACCTTCAGGATCAAATACAAAAGAGATTTGAATCTCGATTTGGAAATCATTACATTGACCAATTTTGCATGATCGCGCAATGCACGTAGACTACATAGGAATATATGCGTGCAATCTCAATGGGAAGAATTTTAGCACGCACAATCGAGTGCGCCTAAGACTTGGTCTACCTGCAAGTTATCAACCGAGACCTCGATAGCGTAAACAAACTGGTTCGCTATATACAAGATATAATGACTGTTTTAATATTTAAACAAATAGTTGTTTTATAAGGGGACGTTGCATCTTGCCATCACCCCTCGGCACGCCTCGTGGTGATATCAGGATGCAACATCCCCTTGAGCCTATAAAACAACTATTCCTCTCACAGCAGCCATTATATCTATAATATTGACTGCTATAAGAGGCGGTGGTGGATCCAGGGGGCCCGGGGGGCCCGGGTCCCCCTCCCCCTGGGGAAAAAAAACGTGTACAAACACGTTAATTTTACCTTTTGGGGGAGATGGGCCCCCTCCCCTGGCGCTCAAGGGGGGGGGGGGGGGGGGTTGCGATTTTTCAAATTTTCGAGGGCCCAAAAAATATATGTTTTTCTTCGCTTGAAAATGACTGAAAGTTTCAATCATTTGGGAATCGCAGACAAAAAGCACCGTATGGTGTCCGCGCTCGCACAAAGTAAAAAAAAAATAACACGTAAACTTATGGGGATCTTAAACTATAGCTCCTATAGATCTCGAGACTGAACTATTGTACATTTTCGAGATTACCTTGGGTAATGTATTTAACCGTGCTCCTGGCCCATTCAACCACTCAATACATGTATTTGTATATTATCCCATTGCAGAAAGAGAATGCACAGATGACCGTCCTACTATCAATAGTGGTAGTCTGAGATGCAGCAGTGGTACAGAGATTGTCGTAACAAAGGGATTTTGCTTGAGCTTTGATGAATGCGATGACTTTACTACTTCTGCCTTTTCGTCATGCCCCAGCGCTGAAACAACAAGCCTATGGAATATTTTATGTCCGATACAAAGTCAACGTCACATATGCGATATAACGTGTACCGGCTCGTGTCCAGGAGAAGATAGCGCTTATTTCTACGCCGAGTACGATTGTAAGTTAATTATCTCTTATTCACAAAGAAAATAAGCCCAAAAGCTTTCGAGAAATCAAAGCAAGAGCAGTATCAAAAGTGGACTCCCCTATTGGATACCCAGTAAAACCCTTGTTCAAATTACGTGTGTGTGATGTTCGCATGTGTAATGGACGAGGCTATTATATATAAACTTGACTAAGGTGGTTTTTCGAAAGTTTTTGCGATCGCTTTTAATGTGTACCAATCACCCTAAATAAATTAATCTGCTGCGTACAGCTATAAATCATACAAACAACCTTCTAAACAAAGAATTCCCGGGTTTCTATGGAGTATCAAGAACAAAAATATTAATATAAAATTGGACACACGAAACCCAACTCGGGCTTGAGCACGTGCATGCCAGCCCCGTTTTAAACGAGTGCGTACGGGTGCATTGAGTAGTCTTCTTACAAGTCGCATTTTCTGTTACTTTAGAGTTTATTTGCGAAACTCTTCACAGAAGTAATATTTGTATTATTGGGATCGTTTGTTTTTTCTTCTTCTTGTAAAGGTGTCAGAGTTGGACCTGTGGTGCTGGAGTCCACTGCGGTATGTTTATTTGTTTCTTCTCTGTTTATTTACTCTCTTTTTTCTGATTAATTTGTTGTACTTTTTTGTTTTGTGTTATATCTGTTCCTTGAAGACATTGATGAGGACTGTAACTTAGGCGATTGCACTGTGAAATAAACTGAATAGAAAGTTAAAGGCGAGGATTAAGAGCTGACTGTATCCCATTATATCGAATCATACTTCATTGAAAAGTTAGTTGAGCCAACAGTGTAATTTTAATTTGTTTAAAACTGATTTTAAACGATAATATACGTTTGTTGTTTATTTTTATTTTGTTACCCTGCAGGTAGCTACCACCACACCATCTACTACACCTACCGTTACCACGCCTGGTAATTAAAAGGATCCATTTCTTATCTTCTACTCTTCTGCTGAAAACCTTTCAGATTATTTGTAAACATGGTGCAAGTTGCAGGTTTTCCAGAACAGTTTAAGCTATGTAGTCCATGAATCCCACATTGGGTAGTAATGTCACATCCATCTGTCCTGTGTCATTTTTCGTGTATTATATCTTTATATCTTTAGCTTTAAAGGTACTATGTCCCTTTTGCAGCTGAGTCGATGCGAAATTTTCGGCCCGATTTAAAAATGTTAAACCCTCCCCCCCCCCCCCCCCCCTTGAAAAAATCCTACGTACGCGCCTGACCAACACCATTACATAAGGAACATGTGTGTTACAATATCCACACAGTTGCACAAGAACCACAAAAACCATATTACACACTGTATAAGAAACATCTATTAGTACCGCCACGAACACCATTTTATAAGAAACATGTGTGTACCGACATCAACACCATTAAAATGTCTTTTTAATGGGTTTACCAACACAAACACCGACATCATTACAAAAGAAATATGTGTCGTACAATATCCACACAATTTCACGAAATACATGTGTGTACCGCCACCAACATCATTACTTTAGAAACGTACGTACCAAATCCGGCAATAGAGCTAGATATTAAAGATAAAGCTTTATGTATATATATATACTAAACTGGAATTTTGTTCTTTTACGTTGATCATCAATAGATCCTCTTACCACTGTACCAACGACCACGACAAGCACTCCTCCAACTACTACCCCATCTGCGTCTACAGCGCCACCAACGACGAGTACTCCAATTGCCACTACAAAAGATTCATCGCCTGGGGCTGTATTCGAGGAGTTTCTTGCAGAGTGTTTCGGTAAGTTTATATTGAAGAGAAAGTCGTCTTCAGGAATTATGATCCTGTCGAGCATTAATTCGGTGACAAAATGACCTTGCGAACATTGCCCCCGATACCACTGTATGGATGTGTCGTGAAAGTATTAGATAATACATAGTAAAATACCTAATATCAATGATGATGATGGTTACGATAATAATGGTAATAATAATAATGATAACAATAATAATTATTATTATTAAAAAAGTAATGCTAACAACCGCAGAGGTGTTGTGGACTAGAGGAAAAGTCACCCGACTGCAGATTACAAGGTATGGGGTTCAAGTCCGTTGGCAAGACGTTAATCTACATTTGCCACTCTCCACCCAGGTGTAAATGGGTACCTGATATGCTTGAGCACTAGTTACTTTAGCAGCTCGGTTACGACCAGGGTAATATGTGTAAAGCGCCATGAGCGCCAGAGTCGGATACCGGCGCCATATAAATAACCATACTATTATTATTATTAATATTAATTATCAATTATAACTTCCAAGTACCAGTTCGATACAACAAAGTCATATACACAATACACAAAGCATAGACCAGAGTCGAGCCTAGAAACTTTTGTGTATGTGACAAGAGCCGTCATCAATATACAACAGTGCTTCAACATTCTTAGTGTCTATTTGCCCACTAATTACTGTTTTATTGAATCGATTTTCGAGAGCCTTTTTTTTCTTCTTCAGGTAATGCTACAGCAGGGGAAGCGGATGCCAAACCTTACCGACCTTTGACCTTTACTTCAGCTGGAGAGGATGCGGACTCTCGCTTAGCTGTCAACTTCGAATCGCCATCTCTACAAACTAAACCAGGTATGTCACAGAGAACATGATGATGATGATCAACAGCATTTGTATGGCGCCATATATCTGTTTAAAAATATTCAAGGCGCGAGCTCCTCCAATACAATTAGCATTTAAATGTCTGAAGGAAGATGTGAGTTTTGAGTGGTCCAGGTTGTCAATTTCGCGAATAAAGCTTATAAGCTCACGGGCCTCCAAAACCTAAAGTTTGTTAGACTAAATATTTTCGAGACCGAAAATGCACCAAAAAAGTCATTCGAGAGCAAACGATCTCATGATCGGAGGCACATGCATGAGACCGAAAGTTGTTTTTTAATGGCACACGAGATCGAAACCTTCGGTTCCACTGGTATAGTACTGATAATGAGAGCGAGATCATTAGCTTCAAGGACCAGGGAAGCAAAAGTTTACATGACCACAGGCACATAAAAAACGCACTCGTTGGTTTCGCATGTCTTCTGATAATGCAATTTAAATTCTGAAAATGTCTTGGTATCAGCTACAAACGAATTCCAATAAGGTGGAGGTGGGAGAGTCCGAGTGTATACATGGACACTTGCCCTCAGTTTCTTAAAGTTTATATTAAAAAAAGTACCATCTCGTATGAAAATATGCTTCCATGTGAAACAATCTCACAATGATTGTTGTTGCTTTTATATAAACTGCATCTACCATTAAGTTGGTTTTGTCGTGGGCTATCATGTGTCCTTTCTTTTGCAAGTTTGCTCAATTAAGTGATGTTAAAATTGACAAGATTTGACAAATTTGTTTCTATGTCCATGCTTTCACAAAATGTCACCTAAATCATTCGCAGTTAAACTAGCGATCAATGCATTTAGTGAGCCTAGTCAGGCAGACGGTTGCGGCAGTGTACCCGAGCCACCATCTAATGACACCGATGCTGATGTGGACAATGAATCCGAGTCGGCTGCTCCTTCTCGTGTTCTTACTTCCGTCGTCGACGTTACCGTCTACTGTTTCAACGGCGCTCCACTGCAACTCAAGGATGGTGAATATGTCGACGTGGTCTTCCCCGCTAAGATAGTAAGTAGGCCTGTATGGGGGCCGTTGGTGCCATTATTATGTACAACTTTACAGCTATACGGCTATCGAGTAGATGCATAGTCTCATAGTTGCGCAGTTGTATAGTTTCATGTGTTCTGATTGGTTAAAACTGTACAACTATACAACTATGCAACTATGCAACTATGCATCTACTCGATAGGCGTATAGCTGTAAAGTTGTACATAAAAATGGAACCAACATCCCCCCCAACCCCCCCCCCCCCCCCCCATAGGCCTGTCAATGGAGTCACGTACTGGGCACCCAAACATAGAAGAGACATGGGGCCCTTTGCACAAATCTTACCATTGATGGTTACTTTGCCATCAACGGTAACTACCATTGAAACCTTGATTTTGATTAATTGTTGAGCCCTGTTACAATGGTAGTTGCCATTGATGGCAAAGTTACTATCAATGGTAAATTTTATGCAACGGGGCCCAGGTGTCATTCGAGAAGGGGATGCAGATCGCAATAGGTGAATAACATACATTGAGTGTGAGTGAGGAGAAAGTGTGGATGGGTTGATATTGGACACGATTGTTAGGAAATTACTGAGGCTTCTATGTCATAGGAAACAAGTTTGAGTTTGTAGCTTTATGCCACCCTATATTAACCTTTTCCGTGGGATTTTCCATCCGCTGCAATAACTAAACAATTTCATTTACTGATACTGTCCGATATAATAAATGATTCATTTTCATCCTCGTGACTTTTTTTCAGGATTTTGAGAATGAGGTACCGATTTGCACATCCATGAGAGGAGCTGCATCGTAAGTAAAAAAAAAAGTGTCTTATTATGTTCTTCTGCTTACCATGATTAGGGACTAAAGCATTCAAGAAATTCCTTCCTACCAATTATAAGAAGCAGATAAGATAACATCGTTTTATGAGTTAGGCCTGAAGAGAGCGTCTTTTGGGAAGTAGATTGTCATATTTTTAGTTCCTGCTTTTTTGGAATGAGACGTATACAGCTTATAAGATAATTTCAAGAGGTATAGAGAACGTATATGATTTATTGGACGGAAGAGTTCTCATCACTTTTTAATTAAACTTACGAGATCACTTATTTGATATTCCTTGGGTGTTTTTGAATTGGAACGGACGTAATATATTATTAAAAGTGTTCTAAAAACGTTAATATAATACTATTGTGTGTTTTATTTGTATTTAGTGCTTGAAACGGACATAATACAGTATTAAAGATGTTCTAAGAACGTAAATACAATGTGTTATTGTGTCTTCTTGTTTTTAGCGATTGCAACGGACGTAATATAATATTAAAGATGTTCTAAGAACATTAAGAGAATACTTATTGAGTGTTTTGTTTGTTTTTAGGGATTGGAAATGGTCTACAGACGGTTGTAAGGTGGTTTATTCTAACTATACTCACGTGACATGTCGATGTGACCATCTTGCATCTATTGCTCTGGAACGAGGCCCAAAGGTAGTCGAATTAGCATGCCTAGAGTGTTCTTAAAGATAAGCTGGAGTTAATGTTTGGTTTGGTTTGGTTTTATTTTATTTTCCGTATAAAAATTCAAATACATACAAGAATACAATATATAAATATAACACAAATCAAGAATTAGAAACGGCTGGAATGCTCTATTCAGAGCCATTATTAAATGGATCTGTTCTTCCTAGAGGTCCAGAAATGATAGAAAATAAATTCTCACAGAATTCAACAAAACGTACTACACTGAATGTTTAGTATTACAAACAAATGACATTTTGGTAGAAAATGTGTAGGCGCTGGATAATGAGCATAGAAAGATAAGGAAATCAAGGTAGGGAGGCCCGACACCATGTACTTTATACAGGTCACTATGCAAAAATGAGAGTTGAGGCTTTTATTGAAGATGATTTTTCGGCAAGTTTTGCGAGTTTTTTTTTTTATTTTACTGGTTCAAACACTCAATCTACTGAAGGATAAACAATCCAGAATAAATTATGGTCTTGTTCTCTGGACATACGATCCTCATACCTGACCAGAACGAAAGATTAGCTTTAAAAACCTATTGTATGGATAATTAGGTCCATTCATATTATCGATTATACATAGCTCTTGTATATATCATTAGAGGACGTTTCAGAAGCGAGGATCCTTGAAACTCTATTCGTTAGAAGTATCACTTTTCATGTGATCTATATTATGACCATACCCATGTGACTAGGCTAGATCACCTTACCGCCATTGCTCTTGAACGTGGTTCAAAGGTGGCCCCACTTGCAATACTTGTATTCCTTCATTGTACATAAGTGGACGATCTTTATTAGATTGGCATTATGTATCACTTTGTTTCCAGGTTATCACTTTCTATAGACCTTGCAACACATTTTGGGAGTATCATCCCCAATAAAGCAGAAGGCAATGAACTCGTGACATAGTTAGCAATTTATCTAAAGGAGATCGTTAAACATTGGCTTTAGCATTTCCACGGAGGTTCATTATTCAGGAAGTTAAGTGTGGACGCTTCGACAAGAATTTGGAGTACAAATGGGCTTATGACATAAAAAGCCATTAGGCGCTGGAGCAAATATAACAGCTGGGCCTCAGGTAGCAACATCAGTATTAAGACTGCTCGTCCTACAGATTATTCATTTAATTTTGTTCGTTGATACGACAGGTACACGTCACTAACACAAGACTAACAATATCCAAAGCCTCCCCTATATACACCCCCTCCAAAAAAAAACAATATATATATATATATATATATATATATATATATATATATATACATTACACCAAAGAGATATGATTTGGTCGGTTTATCGGTCAGTTTTGAGTCAGTTTGGCGGTATGTCAGAGGTACATGGTATTCGAGATACAGGTAACAACTGAATTATGTATACCCTTGCCAAGTTTTTGTGAAAAATTGATTCGGCTCACTTTATGTTTCTTGTGGCATGTTAAAGCTAACATTAAAAAAGTACTCAACAAAGCTAGGACCTAATTCAACAAGCCTACCTTTCACTCTTGAGTAACGAGAAAAAACACAGACAAATCATGAAATTTACAAGGAGTATGAATAGTTTAGTTATTAACTGTACACACTAAAAATTAATGGTACAAATTTGCACCCTATATGGTGCAGATCGCTGCTACAATAGCAGCCACCTATAGGGTGCAATTTGCAGACTTGCATCCTTAGAGGTGCAAAAGAGCACCCTTAGGGGTGCAGACCGCTGCTACAATAGCAGCCATGTATTGCAGACTTGCACCCTATAGGTGGCTGCTATTGTAGCAGCGATCTGCACCCCAAATGTACCCCTATTTCTTAGTGTGTACGACTTTGATATGACTTGTTTTGCAGGGTTTCTCTGTGGGTCATGTCAACACCATCGCCTTGCTTCTTATCGAAAAGATACTAGGAGCGATATCCGTCATCTGCCTTCTCGTCATCGTCATGGTTTACTTCATCCTCGGGTACGTAGCTAAAATTGAGGTCATAGGCCAAAGTTTAGGTCAAAAGTCAGACAGTAAAGATTATCTCCAAACTCCGTCCATCGAAGAATAGCGACAAAACAGTGAAAACCAACATTGAGTAGGAATGTCACGTGATGAAATTATGAAACACGTCGGTTGTCGTTCATATTTCCTAAACTTAAAGCTAATACCTAAACCAAAAAGTAAGTTACACGATTAGAAGGGAATTACACCTGGCATAAGTTTCATGGAATTGTTTTGATATAATAAGGCCTCTGACATTAACATTCAGAATAACAGAATTATTTGAGGGGAATTGACGTCATTTAATAATTCCCCACCCAATAATAGTTAGGCCTGTCTACTTTCCATACTATAAGCCAATTGAAACGAATCATTATTTAGAATGGATGTCTCTAAACAGTTACAGCCTGACTTCCGTAAACCATTACAGTATCATGATTGTTCATGTCTTCTGCCTCGCTCGAGTGACCTCGTTTAATGGCCTCAATATTTTAAAGTGACTATCGTGTCATTTCTTTGGTAACAAATTAATTTGATTGCTGTATTTGCTATTTTTGCTTGTTTCACGTTGTATATCATTTTATGTCAAGGCCTTCTTGCCCACCTATTATTATTGTTACGTCCTTCACCATTACAACCACTTCAATCAAATGTTAGTTTTATTTATAGGAACCTATAATCTACAAGCTGAGCTTTTTAATAGACTCCTCACATTTCACCCTATATAAACTTCTATTCAATAAAATTAATTTCGACGTCTTTTCAAAGAATTAATTATATAATGTGACACTTTTAGTATATTTCATATTATGTTCTAATTTTGTCAATTATGTGAATTCTTTCTTGTGAAAATGTGAAACAAAAAAAACTTGAAATTGAACTTGAACTTGAATCATTATCTCATCAATTGATGCGATATATTTTCTTCTTTGATTGAGCAGCAATCAGCATTCTCAACTGGCCAAGATTCAATTGAACATAGCGATGTCCTGTTGCTTTGCTCACATGACCTATCTCGTAGGGATGAAAGCTACTGGCAACCTGGTAATTACTACTCTCATTATACTATTTGACAGTAATATACTATTTAGTACTATTCATCAGGTTTCAGTAATAGTACAAATCTAAATGCCTTTCCTAACTTATTTTTGGTTTGTTAACTCCGTTGTATATGTATGAATGTGTGTGTGCGTGTGTGAGTGTGTGTGTGTTTCTCTCTCTCTCTCTATTTCCCTCTCTCTTTCCGTCTCTATCTTTCTTGAATAGATGCAGGTCAAGTGCACATCGATTCTTTATATATTAGGGATCATTTTGTTTTGGAGTAGAACTCCATTAAAAAAAACTAGTATAGTATTAATGACTGCTTTGAGAGAAATAGTTGTACGCCTCGGGCAATAGCACAATTCTAACCTTCCCTTGAGCGTATAAAAACAACTATTTCTCGAATATTAAAGCAGTCATTAATACTTTTATATGCCAAAAAAAATAGACTAAAAAATAAAAAATAAAAAAACTTTTGTCGAAGATGGGATTCGATCTCTTGCGTACAAAAGGTGATGTAACTAAAATCAGCGCCTTAAACCGCTCGGCTATCGCGCTCTGTTACCATACTTAACTGTTTTTTCTAATATATACATTAAAATGGATTGAAAACGGCTTCGCGTGATTGATGATTCGCGGCTGCTCCATCAATCGGGCCCTTCTTTTACTTTTGCAATGCATATTGGCACGAACTTAGATCAAGATCTATCGGCAGATGTTGTTTTTTTTGTTTTTTGGAAGTTTATTTTCGTCTTCATGTCAACAATGCAAGATAAAATTGTCGGTAAGATCGATCGAGATTCAATTGTATTGAAATTACCGACCAATTCTTCGCACACGTACGGTATCCTCGATCGCTCAAACCATTTTTTAACATGTAAACCTATGGGGTAACCATGGAGACTGACCTATTTTCCCAATAACCATGGTTATTGGGAAAATAGGTCTGTTTTTACAGGAAGAGTTAAAGTTTATGAATGCAATTTCGACCAATCAGATTGCTGGATTACTTAAGTGAGGTATATAATAAAATCTACTTAATATTCAAATCACTATTTTGGTGTAGATTCCAAGATGATTTTGAAACGGATTCAAAATCATTCAATCTCAAACGAACCGATGACGGGCATGAATCCTAAAACAGATGATTTTTCACTCTCTACATTAAGACAATATGAATAGCATCACACCTGAGGCTGAGATTCATATCAAATTCTGAGACTTAAAAAAAAAAAATCACGGCATTTTGGGGAAGAGAATGCTCATACGGCTGAATGTGTCTTATCATCCAATGAAAACCATTTGGAATAAATATGACGAAGTTGTTGTAAAAGAAGGTCTTTTAATGCAACTTCGTGATAATGAATATTGTATTGTTCCTGTTTTTATGACTTGCCTTGATTTTAGAATAAACATTTACAATTTTTCAACAAGGCCCAGGTGTACTCAACTCTCATTATTATATATGATTTTATTATTTCACCCCTACCATATCAGTACGTTTGCGCAGCCATGGCAGCGGTTTTGCAGTACCTCTCCACGGTGTATGGATTGTGGTTGGTTATCCAGACAGCTCTGTTCCTCAACACTTGTTACATACATGGAAAGACACGAGAGGGACTACATGCAGCTCTCATAGCACCCAAGACATTCAGCCTAGAACTGTTACCGCTCACTAGGATTTTCCTCGCTGTTTGGGGTAATATCAGACCACCAGTTGTTAAAGTGTACCAATCGCCCCCCCCCCCCCACCTCTTTAAAAAAAAGTTGTGTATTGATATAATGTAGCTTGTAAGTGTCGGCTTGCATGGTGATGTATATATACAGTAGACTTGCGGGTGCACCATGTGAAAGAGAGAGAGAGAGAGAGAGGGGATTGAGGAGTCCTGAAAAGGACGACAAATAGTCACCCTGTTCGAAACGTCGAGCCACTCATCCTCTCCAAGCGCTTTAGTAAGCTATGAAAAATAACAAACAGTCTTTTTCAAGACCAAACAAACAGTCCTTTTCAGGACTACACACCCCCAAGAAAGATTACCGAGAGTCCTTTTCATAATTCCTCAATCCCCCCCCCCCCCTCTTTCTCTCTCTCATGGTGCATCCGCAAGCCTACTGTATATGATATAATGTATATAATTAACCTCCAAAAAAAGTCCATGGTATTGAGGCATTCTATAATTTTATGCTTAAAGTTATATCAGTTTTTGTAACTTGTTATTGATAACAATTTTTAATGAAAGAGCGCCCAGAAGTTTCGTCGGATACATTTTCACCCTACAATATCCCACCTTCCATCAGATAACTAGCCGGTCTTGTCACTTTCAAAAGATTCCTTAAAACACACTTCTTCCATCGGCAATATAGTAGGATCACGATGTAATACAATATGGTCATATGAAAACACAATATAGATATATATATATATACATATATACATTATATGATCATGATGATTTACTTTTTTTCTCATCACATTTTGTGATTTTGTAAGCGTTATGGTACTTTTCGTTTTCTTGTGCTCAATTATAATCGGTATTAGTATCATTAACGGTGGAATGCTTTTGATCTACCAATTGTTTGACAGCTAATGGACTGCGCCTAATTTCACTATGGTCCAAAACATGTATACTACACTCTCACAATAATCCTTTTTCGCTTATTGCATAAAACAAGTTTTTATTGATAACGTCTATCTTTTACATACAACAGTAGTCAAATTAAACCATTTTAAATTGAATCTTTCCTGCATTTAAATATTTTACTGGCGTCGATGAGGGGTTCATGAGCCGCGTGCCCCCCTCCCAAACATTCAGAAAAAGAAAAAAAAAAGAGACACGAAGGGAGAAGGCGCTGGAAGAAAGACAAAGACTAAACAACTTTCAACCTCCACCTCCACCCCCTCGCCTCGTTGGCGCTAAAGATTTAACTTTAATCTACCTGTTATTTAGCCTGGTGCCCCTTCCCAGACCTCCCTCAACGTCTGAACACGCGCTACGCCACTGCAAGAAGATCATAAGTCTACCCATAGTTTGTATCTTCCTCATTCATATCATTTTTCTTTTGTATGTCATTCATTTGCAGGACTTCCCGTGCTACTGGTTGGAGTTCTTTACTCAGAATACCCGTATGCATACGGCACTCCGGAGAGGTATCGATCAAAACTAAGAGTTCAGGGGCCGGGGAGGGGGGGGGGGGTGTTTTACAAAGATCCTAAGTTTGTTTGTTTTTATTTCCGTATAACTAGCCCATTTCAGGTGTATTAACAAAATCCGCCTGTTCTTCCATGGGGTCCGGATAAAAAGCTATTACATAAAAATCACATATTTTAGACAATCAAGGGGAAATTAGAATTAAAAGTATAATACATTCAATATAAACATTTAAACGAAACATAAACGATATAACTGAACATGTATAATACATTTTCGAGTCTAATCAATTCAATTTACATTTAGAATTCATATTCAGTGTATTTTATAAGGGATACAGAACCGCACGAACCCTGTATAACTTATCTCTAAGTTTGACTTAACAATTATGGAAAGCCGTTAGCATCTATGAAAGAATTTGGTACAAGTTATTTAAAAAAAACATGTTGATTCAAATCATTCATATTTTTAAGGAGATTTCATGTTCTTGATGTGAGTTCATAAAAAGTCAAAATTACTTGAATTTTCGCTTTTTAATATATTTGTTTAAAAGGCAACAAATGGCTCTCCATGATTTTTAAGTCTGGCTTAGAGTTAAGTTAGACTAAGGATCTTTGTGACCACCCCCCCCCCCCCGTTTCGCTCTCTAGAAACAGAACTATTTATTCTTTAAAACAGTTCTTAGTTTGATTTATTGATTTATCTATTTCATAAAGACTGCCTAGTAGCAATGACCCAAAACTGCAGTTTACAAAGAATAAGGAAATATATTATATACCAAGGCAATTTTACATGAACATTTCAAACATGGAACTTGAACTTGGATAATTACTATGAAGGGTATCTGTCTCGACATAAAATTAACATGAACGAATTATGGAAATAAAAGATTTCCCCTCATACCTGACTGATAAAATGACTAAAGGATAAGATAATTCTTTCAAGAAGTAAGATATAAAATTATTCGTTAAAGAGAAGGTTGAGTTCTGGGAAGAGGTGAAAAATAATTTGTGAGCATTACTCATTCTTATTATGCAAGTGTGGAAGAACATCAGTTAAGACATGTTCCCTGAAAAGCATGGCTCTTCAAATGCCTTCATATTCTAAATATGCATGTAACATCGTAAAAATCGGGGGCCGGCTTTTTACGCCACGTGTTCGTGTAGTCCCATATACATCTTTCTGTGCAAGTGTTTGTAACTTTACCAAGACTTGGCCACATTTCTTATCATTTTGATGATTCCAGGACCTTGCAATACACACAAATTCTTATATGCTAGATGATAAACCTTTTCTGGTCGGTTCCACACCGTTTCTTTCACAATGCAATCGCATGACGAGAACTCAACTTCATCTTTAAGTGGAGTAACTAAATACTAATTTGTCTAATCTCCACCTCCTTGTTTCTGTATCATTCTCTTTCAGCTGTTGGCTGGTAGATACGTTGATACCGTATAAGATTTTCATCTCTACTACAATCCTCGAACTCCTGGTAATATTATCTCTGTGTGTGTGTTTTTTTTTTTAAATAAATAAAAGTAGGGTTTCCCTATCCTGTAAACCGGGAAAATGTAAGAGAAGGAGTTCCCTTTCTCGAGTCAGAGAAAAAAAATAGAGGATATCCCTGGCCCCCAAACAGCGTATTAGGTTAATGATTTGCTCGCATGCTTATACATGTAAGAGTACCCGTAATTGTCGGACGTTCGAAAATAGAAATAGATTGAAATATTGCTCCTATAACGTTTTAAATTCATCAGACAATTCTTGAACGCACACATCTTCGCGTTTACTTGGTATAAATTACTTAGTTCATGTAGTGATATACATATTACCTCTGGTACAGTATTTCCTAATAGTGCGGTATGGTATGTAATCGTAATCCCGTAGGATTTTTTGCCAAAATTGATTTTTTTTTTTTCTTCTTTTTTTTCTTTTTTTTTTTTCCTTTTCTTTTCTGTTTTGGTTTCAAAAGGGTCCCAATTGGCCCAAAATGATAGGGCTCAAATTTTCAGACACCTCCTGGCTTATATAAAGCGCAATAGGGAAATTTGGTGTCTTCGGGAAAATTTGAACCCCATCAATTTTGGCACAAAGTCCTACGGGAGCTGTTTCAGTGACATACCGTACCACGCTTTAACCCAGGGTCTCTAATTGCAGTTCATATTTGTCTATTATTATTTGCTTAATCAGTTATTCCTGTGTAGGTCAATATTACATCGTCGGTCATCAGTCATACTCTTCCGATTCGGTTTTTTTCATTTCGCACCTTTTAAGTTACACTTTGTCCGTTTTCTTTACAAGAAATAATATTGATAAGAATAATGCATCTGTATTTTCAATGAACACAAGTACATGAAATATATATTTCAACACTTTGGTATGCTTATAGGTACTTTTAAATCAAGGACTTAAAATCGGAAAAGAGGATATGAAGGCGTCTACGGTAAAAAAAAAAAAAAAAAAAAAACAAACAAAAAAACAAAACAAAACAAAACAAAACCATAGCCTATCGTTAATAGGCTTCATATGGTAAAGCAATCTTGCAAGTATTTATAACAGAGCTGTGGGAATGAACAAGGAAAATAAAAACGACATTTTAAAAACATGTGTAAGCAAATATAGAAACTCATAACATTATATATAAACGAAGACTATCTGAGTGAAGATCAGCTATGCGTTTCAGTACATACATGAAATGTCTAACATCGTTGCCTCCTGTTTAGGTGAATATCACCTTGTCGATCATCACCGCATACTTTATGATCAAGATTGAGCGTAAATTCCACGGAGATGATGAGGACTACGAAGAATGGACAGATAAGCTCAAGATACTTGCCGGGTAAGAATAAATGAGGTTGAACAAAAATTAAAGATAGGGAGTGCCTCTCCCCCTCCTACCCCCTACCCCCTTAAAATCAAGTGACATTCCCTACACATCTCTGATCCACTTTCCTCCTCTCCCTCTCCCCTTTCCCTCTCTCTCTCTCTCTATCTCTCTCTCAATTTCTCACGCACTCTCTTTTGGGGCTGATCACCTTGTGATTTGCATTTGTGTTTTTTTTTTTTTATTTCGCTTGTCTGTTCCTTTGTTGTTTATATAATTTTCGATTTGAAAGGGGCACTTTCTGCTTCCTTACTTTAGTGCTGGCGATATTTTGTATTATTATTAGATATTTGTTTTATTTTTGTAATATTATTATTATTATATATATACATATATAATAATAATAATAGTGGGTTCTTGTATAGCGGTCATGTCAGTCAGATTTGACCCTCCTGGCGCTCCCGATTATTACCCTGGCTTTAGCACGGCTGCCATACGGCGCTCTAGCATTTCAAGGAATTTGTTTGGGGGAGGGGTATTCTCCATACCCTTATCCAAAGTCTTAGATCCGTTTCTCTTGGCGTTCCATAAATAAGTGGACCGAATCCGACCACTTGGTCAGGGTTTTAACTTGGACTTAAGCTATAACAAATACTGTTATGAATACCGGTCATTATGTTTCAAGGTGCAGGTTGTATAATGGGTAATTCACTTGACTCTTAATGCAAGGGTTGAGGGTTCGAATCCCAGCCCGTTATCAATGACATTCGGCAGGACATTAATCCACATTGTCCACTCTTCACCCAGCTTATTATATCATTATTATGATTGCTATCAAAACTATCATTATTACCGGTCATTGTGTTTCACCTTCTACATTTCATTTTTAAAAAAAACAGATGGTGCTTACCTACCTCGGTACTGCTTTCTCTGTTACTTGTCATTGCTTGGGTCCTTCACATGGTCTTTGAGGTCTGGTCCAGCCTAGTCTTGGACTACTTGTTCCACATCTGCATGATGTCACAGGTATGCACACGAAATGTCATTTCATCATGACATGTTTCTCATACCAGTTAACTCTAAATGTGCCACTCAATGAATGCCCTAGCTGTGCGGCATATTATTTTGAAGGGGTATTTTTACCAATGAATTCTAGATAATTTTTCTCATTTTTCAGTCGGAAGCGACTTGAAGCATGTTATAAAAGGTTTTGCACATATGCCTACCTAGTCTAGTTCTGGATCCTTCTTATTGATTGTTTTATTCACCGACTATACACGCTAAGCCAAGTAATGGCGCGAATCTCGAGAACCCTGCCAAAAAAGAGTATTACAAAAAAGCGGGCCCCTACCCCCGGCAAAAATAAAAGATTGTTACCCAAAATTTATATTTTCTTTTTTATTGCTCAAGGGAGGGGGGTGTTGAGTAAAAAATTATATATATTAGTATTAGTTTTAGTTTTAGTTAGTTAGTGCTCATGCACTGCCCCCCCCCCCCTTGACCAAATAACGGTCTGCGCGATTTTCAAATGTCCGCCTCCCCCCCCCCCCCCCCCTCCCCTATTGGAAAATCCTGGATCCGGTGAAATCCATGTCTTTAATTGTGTCTATTGTTTGTTCTTATCTACACTCTTGAAAATAAAGGGGTGAATAATGAAATCCCAATAATTGCATTTCTCTCATTTCAGTTTGTGTCTGATTTGTATGAACGTGATTTGAAAATAAAATCTGGAGATTTTATCTGATTATTAACTGTTTCATCAATTTCATTCTCACAACCAGGGCATCATCGTCTTTGTGTTCTACGGTGTCTTTAATCCACAGGTGAGTTTAATCAGAGCGTATCCAGAGAGATAAATGGGAGGAAAATAGCGAGAAATAAGGAGAGAGAGAGAGAGATATATATAGAGCGTGACAGAGACAGACAGACAGACAGAGAAAAAAATGTGTGTGTGTGAGAGAGAGAGAGAGAGAGAGAGAGAGAGAGAGAGAGAGAGAAAGAGCCGGTAAAAAAAGGGAAATTTGGTGCTAACTTGTTTTAATCTCTTATTGTATTATGTATGAGGGCATTTGAATGGCAATCCTTCTCAGTCAGGGTGAAAGTTCTGCTATGACGTCATTCTTCCAACTGACATAAACGGAATGATAAAGCTCTCAAATTAGTAGAATATTTACTAGAATTTAGCCTTCTCTTTAATGCCATCCAAAACTGTGACGGCAGGAGGGTAGTATGCAGGCCTACATTCTAACTTGACACTTTTACCACAATTGCTAAAGGCTTCAGTGGAGCCTAGATTTGTTAATATCTGACTGTCACAGCGTACACAGCCTATGATGTGTCGATAACAGGTGAATCTTGCAGTCACATGATCGCACCGTGTCCAATGACTGACGAGGGTTTGTGCAAGTAAAGCAGCAGGAGGGTTGAGGGATAAATACTGGAGGGTTTTTGATGGTGTATACATTAATTTCCATTTTCTTCATTTGTTTTTTAGCTCCGCGAATCAAATGCCAAGCAGCAAGACTTTTCTGACATCAAAACATCCGATGAAGGGACTGGCAAGGAATAGAGGTTACTGAACCATCGTAATGATTCAACACCACCATGAGTGAGAGGATGAATGAAGTTTTCAGCTTTGATATGGGGCAATATTTTGCAACAGTCTCCCAGAAAACATGGTGGCAGCTGAGTCGGTTAACTCGTTTAAGGAATAGACTTGAAAGTCACTTGTCAAAGAATCCAAGCATTCTGTATGAGCCTGTCTAGGTATTGTCTGTTGTCTCATGTTTGCACACTATCTTCTCCCTTCACAAATAGCAGTAACCATGGAAGAATCTTGAATCGATGAACATGCTTATACCTACGACATCGTTGGATTACAGTAAAGTAAAGTAATGGAAACAGTGCGTACGACTTGAAATCGACTGTGATGATGATGATGATGATTACAGCAATGGAATAGTCCATCATGTACAAAGTCAACGTAGGTTATATATAACGTATAATGATGATGAAACAAATAAATTATATCAACATGTATTAATCATATAAACAATATTACCTAGGACGGTAAATAAAGACGGTTTTGTAAATATTTCTGGCGTATTTAACCATTGGTGTTTGGTTTGCACATTTATGATCTTCTTGGTTTATTTGGCTGTTTGCCTTAACACGTATTGTTAGGAGTTAGTATCGTGTGGTGAACACATAAAAACTTTGATATACAGTGAATACATTTAATATTTGGAAAAGGTAATTCCATTAAATCAATGTGTACATGACATGTAGGATATCATGTTATCAAAAAGGACGAATAACTTGTCTATAGGCATGTAAATTGTCATTGTTTTTGCTAACGTTCAAAGAGACATTTGTGCTGAAAAGGAAACTTTTGTTGTGCAAATGTTTCAAACTCTTTTGGATATTATTTTTCATGACCAGATAAAGAAAATCAAGATACGATTTAAGAAATGCATGAATATAATGATGATATGAAAACAAACTAGTTATAAATCTTGAAGTCATTCAATGGTAGTAGTGGGGTTTTGTATAGCGCTCCTTTCTGTCAAACTTGGTACTCCTGGTGCACCACATTTATTGTATGAATGCAATCTTGTAAATATCTAAATATATATATGACAAATATGAAAAATATATTTCTTTTCTTTTTGATGTGTTTAATAAGACATTCCATTTTTGAATTAGTCAAGAACTCAAGAATATTTGTTAAACTATCCAATCTATCTTTTTCAAGCAATTAAATGTATTCGTTTTAAATTCGCGATTTAGTACCTAGTGTTAATTTAAACAAAAATTATTAATGGTCGTCACAATATAACTACGATCTTTGACCTCGCCTGAAAAAACGTAGGCCTATTGACATTTTGCACATGGGGTGGGTCGACCTCAAGTAGTGGATAATCGCACTACAGGGAGGTGTATCACAAATTTTGATTTAAACGACAAATGACAAAAATTAGTGACAAATTTGCTGATAACCAATCAGAAGCAAGGATTTCAGTAGCTTATTAAAACAAACTGTCATTTGTCACCGATGACAGGTTTTGTGGAATGGGACCCTGGTATGACGTCACGGTGATTCTGAGCCGCTTTAGCTTGTTCTCCTCCACCATGTCTAAAGAAGCTTGAAATATCTTGAAATTTAAGTGCCATTAATCATGGGGCCATTTAGATCATCGATTTTATAACTTTGAATGTTCACATCAAATGATATTGTAGCATATAAGGAGTTATATTTATCGTTTCGTGGCATATGGACCACTATATAACATGTCTCATCCTGATGGTGCACTAGTGTGCGCCGCCCGGGCGACGTCATTTTTTTTCTGCGGCACAGATTGGGGCTTTTTTTTAAAAAGAGGTCTTGATTTAACCCTAACCCTAACCCTAAACTTTCCCATAGGCTCAACACGCACCTTACCCCAATCTGTGCCGCTGAAAAAAATAACGCGCCCGGGCGTTAGTAATTCAATGTTATATGATGTTATGATTGGTCTGTTGACGGTCTTTTGCCGGGAGTTTCAGCAAATAGTTTATACCCTTGCCCAGTAATATACATGTTATACCTGCTATTACCTTCTTCATCATTAAATAAGGATAATTTAATACGTTTTCGCTAGCATTAGACATGCACTCTACATTTGATATTTTCTTTATGCGTACGGATATATCGAAACAATTGATATTTTTTTCTTTAAAGTGGGAACTCGTTCAAGTTTAAAGGGCAATCCAACCTTTGTAATGGGTTGATTCATATGAAATTAGAAATATAAAATAAACAGAATGGGAAAGTTGTCTCCCATTACATCGCGGAGACATTAACGATTCACCCAATTTGAAGAGCCCATATAGTGCCTATATAATGATTGCAACTGTAAAACATTCTTAACTTTCTCATCTTTTGTCCAATTTCATTCAAACTTTCACCAATCTACTTAATTTGTATGTTGTTGTTGTTGTTTTAGCTTTCATTGGTGTGTATCATTCATTAATAAATATTTACGCTAAGTATGCTATCAAGGTGGATTTTATTTTACTTCTTGTATGGACATTCACTGAAAATTGCATCGTATCTGCATACTTAGGGGCGGATTTATACTGTCTATTTATGTTATCGTTTGATGTGGAAATTAAATAATAAAACTGACATGCAGTCGTAGAGTGGAGATTAAATAAAAAGGATAATTAAAACGATTATCATTCAAGAGATGCATTCCTTTATTCTTATCATTTCATTGGTGTCAATCTGGCTGCGCGTCAACATAAAAACAAGCCACTTTTTTCAACAAACGAAATATTCACCTAACTAAAAATACAACATCAACCTCGATGACCTTTAAAATAATGACCGTAATAAATCCAACATAATTTAAAATTTACATTATTGATATTAAATATTAATTGAACATAACCTGTATGATCAGAATTAATAAACGTGGTTGAGGAAAATAGTGCACTAGATAGAACATGACGTGAAAAATAGAGAGATAGAGAGTGAGTGAGTGAGAGAGAGAAAGGGGTGGGGACACCTGTTATGGCTTTTTCTTTTTAAAATAACATTTGTTTTTCCCTACTCTACATGATGTGTTATTGTTATACTAACATTTTGTGACTGTGTCGTCTAATTTCTTTTTATAATTATTTTACCAATTATTTTACCAACAGCAATATAATAACACTATTGATAGATAGATAGATAGAAGATAAATTATTGGTTGGTAAAGGGGCCAGATAATAGCACATTTGCTATATAGTCGAGCCTAACCCCTTAGACAGCTAAACAAAGTATTTTGGTACAAATCATTTTAGAAAAACGGAACAAAACATAAATAATAAATTGACTATTACAATCAATACTTTAAAAGATAAGAATACTTAATAATGTCTAACAATATACTAACTGATAATATGAAATATAACTTTCATACATATACAGACTATTTAACTTGGTATTTAATTCATGATTTGTTCAACAAATGAGTATTAAGAGAATTTCGAAACCTATTTCAATATCATTAATAGGTAATCTGTTCTAAAATTCACTGGCCACAAAAGACAATGAAAATTGACCTTGCGTCCTTCAAAATTGTGGGAGACGTAATATTCCACCTTATTTTTGTCGTGTGGAATAGATATGCTCTATAATGTCTGAGTACTGTATTACAATATGAGGTAGATGGTCGTTGACTAGATCAAACATGAAAGAACATATTGATAAATCATGTAAATTTTACACATTTAGGATTCGCAATCTTTTAAATAATGGAGCTATAGAAGTTCTCCATTCGCTTAACGTTATAATACGAACTGGCATTTTCTGTGAATACAATATGCTTCTTAGGCTAGTCTCATAAGTGCTTCTCCACACATCTATTCCCTAAGAAATGTGTGATTGTATAAATGCTTAGGTAATGATATTAGAGTACGGCTAGGAACAAAATGTCGCAATCTAAATAGCACTCCAACCTTCTTTCTAATACACTGATTTACAAAAGTAAGATGACTATTCCAAGACAAATGTTAATCAATGTGAACCCCAACATAAGTGGCAACATCAACCTCGTTAATTTCCTCGCCAGCGATTTCCAGTTTACCAATCATACCTATTGTAATCCTCCAACTACTTATTAACATAACATCAGATTTAATTTTAATAATTGTATTAAAGTTTGTGAGGAATGCACCATTCATACAGGGAGGTGAAAGAAAAGGAGGCGAAACTCTTGTAATTTATTCAAACGCATTCTTGAGTTCTAAAGCGTAACAATGGGATGTGTAACATTCCACTTGGCTTTGAAGTTCCATGCTCCGAACCGCGCTTCCACTGCGGGGACTTTCGGAACCCAGGCACCAGTTTTACATTTATTACAAAATATTAAATTACCGGCAAAATTTCAGTGTAAATCATAAACTTTATATGGGGATTTTATTTGGAATAGTGCATCAAACAAATTTTCAAATTTAGAACTCCGTCCTTCCTTTAATTTGTGTGCCAGAGTTGGTAAAAGAAAAATTACATCCTGTCAAAAACTCAAGATTTTAGGATGATGCGCTAATGTGTGCATGCTTTAATGCCCCGTTATTTGATCCATGATTTACAATCTTCAATAACATTAAGTTTGCTAATGCGTGTTTTCGTGTGTTTTTTTGTATTTTTCAAGTTTAAAAAAGGATGAATGTACACAAGTTTGTGTTCGCTTGTTCTACTCTTTACACATTCAACAATGGATGAGAAATCATTGGAAGGGACAGCGAACAGTTGCAGTGATACTATTTTCTGATGTAGGAATTCTAAATCCTGAAATTTCATGCGCTCTTTTATCTCACCACCTGGTCAACAGTTGTAGATTAGCGCATAACTTTTCGGCGGCTTGGAGCATGGGGTCAAAGGAAAGCGGCTTGATTCCAGTCCTTCTCTATCACGTCCCTGATTCATGTATCTGTTGTATGTTGTTATAAGCGAGTTCGTAATTAGGATTTGCACGTGTGCAGATAAAGGTCATTCGTTCCCAAATTGTAAAACCATTGAGACAAATACTCGTATCGTGCTCATGAAAGTTATGTAATTAGTATTCATTTTATGTACCGACAGTACATTTATGTGATACAGAGGTGGAAGTAATCTTCTCAAGAGGGCAAACAAAAGGTATTCATGAAGCACCTCCATCACTTCGACAGTGATTATTTTAAAATGCACAAGTGGGACGTATCCATATTGTCAGTGGCGTAGACAGGTTCGTACACCTGGGGGGGGGATGACTCAGGGGCGGATCTAGCTTTTTGCTAAGGGGGGGGGTTGACCAATAATGACGATGCGGAGCATCGTCGACGAGCCGCGAAGCGGCGAGCCGATTTTTTTTTGGGGTGTTTATTTGAACCCCGTAAGTGATGTTTTCCTGGCATCTATTAACACAATGGAGACCATAAAAAGCAGTGCATGATAACGTCTTTTTAAATCAAGTAACAGTTAAATACACAGTTATATCCAGAGTTATCATGTGTTTGGTTAAGTTACCAGAGGAGTTGAATATCTTCTCACAATACTTGCACTTGAAAGGGTTTCTCTCCAGCGTGCGTTCTTTTTTCTTTCTTTTTTTCTTTTTTTCCTTCTTTTTTTTCCCTTTTTTTTTGTTTGTTTGTTTTTTGGGCCGCCCAAGGGGGGGGGTTTAAACCCCCTAACCCCCCCCCCCCCCCGTAGATCCGCGCCTGTTTAATCTTGTGGTTATCTTGTGGTTTCCAAACCACAAGATAACCAAAAAATACTTGTAAGATTTTCTTTTTTTACCGTCTGAATTGGCTTTCACCGTGTGAATGCGGCTAATAACAATAAACACAATTACAATAATGATGAGGATTATTATTATCATCATCATAATGATTATTATTATTAATATTATAATTGTTATCATTATTATTATTACTATTATTATCATCATTATGACTTATTAAGTAAGCAAATATCATTCCCCAAAACCTGGGGGGGGGATGATTGTACATGCCATCCCCCCCCCCCCCCCCCCCCCCCCCACCTTGTGAGGTGGGGGGATGCATCCCCCTCATCCCCCCGTTGTCTACGCCCCTGCATATTGTAAAAGATCTGTGGATATTTGGGGGTCATGCGTTCCGAAGCTATTTACGAACTGGCTTATTGTGGCGTGGTGCTCAAATGAGGTATGCCAGTGTCAATGCTATGGCATGAGAGGGAATCTTTTAAAATGTCCTCACCTCTGTAGATTCGTAGAGGTTTATTCACCGTCACAGCAGAGTGCAATCAAATGTTTTAGACACTAAATATTATTACATTTTCGGTTGATTTGACCCCTCGTATTTCAGTATTTGCCTCAAACTGTTCGTGAATCCCGGAGCGGGTGAATGCGGTCACATGTTGTCACATCTTCTCGAACTTTCACTGGTGTATTTTCTCTAATTTTACGCTTTTGTTTCGACAAGGGAGAATACCCCTTTCACTCGACGATTCCTTGTACATGTAGTATCAAATTATTATGGCGACTTACTCGAACCCAACTATTGACGTTTGTGCAAAGTTCATTAAAAGATCATTGAAATGAATATGAATGTCAACTAGGTGTCCGTTGGGCAAAGAAAAGATAAAATTTGACTGATGTAATTTGCTATAACAGTCTGATGTGGATGGATATCATACGGAAAGAGCATCGCTTTTGTCATGTCCCAAGCATCTATTAGAGCTATCCTCGGGTCTGTTCCAAACACCTCCCTCATCGCCTGGTCTATTCTCCACATCCACCATTCACTATTAGCTGCGATATGACGAACTGCACCGTATTCCCTCGCTGTCAGAGATTTTATAATGACCACAGCGTTTGGAACCCTCTCGAAAAGCCGGTCTACTGCGCCCTTTACGGAGCGCATACGGGCTTCGTAAAACTCTAAATTGTGGTACGTAAAATGCGCACCGATCGTTAAGAGCAGTACGAACCGTTTTGTTGACTCCTGAATTGCATCGATACGCGTTGTGGCATCCATGATGTTTGATCGGTTAAACCAATTAGATCCGCCTATTGGGAATCCGTGAAAGTTGTAGCGGATTTCAATTCGGTTAATGTCGTTGATGAACCATAGAGGTCCGCTTCGGTTCTCGGATTCGTGCAAGAATCCGGATCGCTCGCTCGTTATTTGATCCTGTAGCATCTCTTTTAGCAACGTGTACATCTGACGTGCTGCTGAATCTCCGATGATCTGAAGATCCGTGTTCGCTAGACAGGATGACATGTTACCGGGTAGCCAGTGTCTCCGGATCCGACATTGAAGCGAATACCAGGTATCCTGATAGAAGTATCCGGAAGGGTGCGGTTGACCGATATGCTGACCGGGTTGACATGGTGGTAGAGTGAGGTTCTGCCACGGATACTCGAAGGAATTCGGATTGTACACGCCAGCTGAAATACAACGAGATCGAATAAATTCATTATTCTGGATTAAGTCTCTTAAATATATTCCTGTGAATGAAATACAATGAGGCACGAAAGCTTCGGTAGAGCAGTGTTCTCGCAATCCGGTAACCCGGGTTCGAAACCGAGTCGATGCGCTAGTGCCCTTTTGTAAGGCATTAATCCTCTTTACCAGGTCCCTCGGAGAGGACGTAAAGCCGTCGGTCGTCTGGTTGCTTACCAACAAGCATTTATGCTTTCTTAGCAGTCAGGTAAAATAACCACCACCAACACCAGTTAAAAGACTTTATTGTAGAGACGAAATCTGGGAGGAGTTCTATCCCCTTCTCACTTTGAATCATTTCCCTGGTACTTCTGTTTTTCTCTCTTATTTTTTCTTTTTGTATTTACCATTCGATCGGGGGTACGTGCCCCAGTGGCCCCGCCCCTTGTAGCTACTCTAATATACTGTACAGAAAAAGTGACATTGTTAGTTACCTGAAGATGGTTCAAGTTCAACTCTGATGTTTAACGGTACTCCCCCATTCTCTATACGTACTCTGTATCTGTGAAGGGAGGGAAACAGGGATGGTTGGCAGAAAAGTGATCAATACGATCATGAATCCTATCACGACAATTACCTCGTGGAACCCGTTTCACAATGTCTTTTTCAATGACATATGACAACAATAAATGACAAATCTGATGATAACTAATCAGAAGCAAGGATTTCAGTAGCTTATAACAAAAACTGTCATTTGTCCCTGATGACAAGTTTTGTGAAACACCCTCCAGCACAATCACCCCCCCGGAAAATTACCCCCAAGGACACCCCCCCCCCCCCCCCCCCCCCTCCGTGGACAATTACCCGTAGCACAATTGCAAAAACAGCATATCACAAATATCACACATGGGGTGATTGTCCTAGAGTGTAATTCCGGAGGGTCTTTGTCCTCGATGGGTAGTTGACCTAGGGGGAAATTTTCCGGGGGTGCATGGTTGTCATTGGGGGTAATTTCCTGGGGGAGGAGGGGGGGGGGGGTAATTGTCCTAGAACCGGTGGCTGCTTGCAGGTAAAATTAGAGATATGCATCTAGACCAACAGGACCATTTTGAGCCTGTACACCAAATGTAGGCCTACCCTTATACCAAATAGACCTCTAAACATCGAAAGTAGACCTACCATTAAACCACTTCTAGCCGAAATGGACCACTAGACCAACTATACCGCTAGATTAACACTAGACTATACGTATAGTATGAACTTAGTTCCCTAAGTTCCACATAATACGATTGCTACTGTAATGTTAATTTTCCATAATTATGTAATTGCATGTTTAATATAATCTATAATTTATAATCTTTTTTTTAATGTTGTGTTTCAAATCAATTGAATTAAACTGATTTTCTAAAAATTGCCTTTGTGGGATTAACTGCATACTGTACCTGTTTAGTGCATTTTTTCTTGATTGATGTCCAATCATTACCGCAAGAAGTTGAGATGTAGATGGCTCATCGCTCTGAGACCACCTCCAGTCCCCGCATGATAGCCCTGGTGTGCTGGGTGCTTGGCAATACCAAGGCATTCTACCGTCAGGGTGAGACATGTTACACAGTGGTCCATACTGCCAACAAACGAGAAATGTTTTAACTATTATGCCAAGCATTTCTTAGTGTGATCAAGAACTTAAACTAATGACCATTTTAAGAACCTCAACCCCGGGAACTGACCACCGGGAACTGAGCCCCAGGAACTGAACCAAAGTTGACTTGTTTTTATTTAAGTCCCTCGATGTCAAGCTGCCCCAATACAACTAGGTTACTTTCTACATCCAATAGACTTTCAACTCCCGGCGATGATCGTGAATTAAAGATTGGAAATACAATCTCGAAATGTCACATGGTTCCGTTTTTGTTATTTCTCTATTTATTTATTTATTTATTTATTTATTTATTTATTCATTCATTCATTTATTTATTTATTTATTCATTCATTCATTTTTTTAATTTTTTTTTTTATTCATTTTTTTTTTGGGGGGGGGGGGGGGGGGGGATGTTTAAGCGTTTTATATTGCACTTTTTCTGTGAATACTTAATTGAAACGAGTCAAGTTTAAATGATTTTCTTTTTAATAAGGCCCAATAAGCCTACATATTCGAAAACAAACTGTGAGACAACAAACAAATAATTGAAGCGACATGGGTTAAAAGATTACGTACTTGTGGTGGGAAAATGTTGCACTTAGTTGTGGCAGCGTTATCCCCGTTTACAAAACGCCCGATATAAACCATCTTGGCCGGATTGGCGACTATCTCCCGGAGAACCGCTAAAGCTTCCCCTGTTAGAACCAACACCACTTCGATTGTAGTTACTCCGGGCCAGCGAACAGTGAACCAAGCCTCGTACCAACCATTCCCCATATCCTTCACCTCACCGTCCGTACTCTGCCCCGCTCTCTCCCCCAAGCTGAACATCTTAGCACGGATGGAATCGCCACCCGTGGTTTTAGGCCCGTTGAGATCCGTCCGGGTCTCGATCAAAACAACGATCCGGTCTCCGATTGAGTAAACCGGTTTTGGATCTTGAATGAAGAACCGAGAGTAATGCCCGCTAGTCATGTTCTCGTTGTTTATAACTGCTTGGGCGTGGACTTGGTTTGGTGTTGGTTGAGGTGGTCGTAGAGTGCGCCACTCCTTTTGCTTCATGGGGGGATGTCTAACTTTGGGGACCGTAACATAATTTACCGTCGGTACCCTTTGAGCTGATACGTTTGTTAACGAGAGACTGTCTGAGAGGATCATAATCTAGAGAAATATATAAATAGAGAAATATATAAATAGAGAAATGGATGAAAGATTGCATGAACAAAGAACAACGTATCAGACTTTAATAGCACCTATGCTTTTTCCAACACGTTATAAACACCCGCAATAAGCGAGATCGTAATTAGGATTTGCGCATGGGCAGATAAAGGTCATTCGTTCCCAAATTGTAATACCATTGAGATGAATACTGGTTTCGCGCTCACGAGAGCTATGTAATCAGTATTCATTTATGCACCGACAGTACATTTATCTGATACACAGGTGGAAGTATTCTTCTCAAGAGGTAAACAAAAGGTATTCATGAAGCACCTCCATCACTTCGGCAGTGATTATTCTAAAATGCACAAATGGTACGTATCCATCGTGTAAAAGGTCTGTGGATATTTTTGGGTTATGCATTCCGAAGCTATTTACAAACTGGCTAATTATAAAAGTATCCAATATGTGGAATGACAAGCCAGGATTAAGAACAGATTACATATATACTATTTGGTTAATTTTAATTTCAATTTAATGATTTATTAATCTTCAATCAATACATTTCGTTCAAAAATAATTTCACGTATAGCATCCAAAGCTGTAACGTTATTTTTACAAGACATTGTAAAAATAAATTAAAAACAAATAGGCCTTATAGGAGATACAGGCGAGTTTACATATTTTGTTTTGCCGGGATTCGAATTTACAATAGTGTAGTTACCATGTTGTAATTTAGGCCAGTAATAAATTTCCAGATCATTATGCATGGATGTATTACACAAAAACATTACATAAATCATGGAGCTCGTAAACATCAGCCGGCTTTGGTGGAAAACAAGAACTGATGCTAGACACTACAAAAAGAGAGTGGCTTCAAGTGTACCTCCGCACGCCCTCGATGGTGTCAGGTGGTGGTTCAACTCTTTTGAATTTCACCTATTGTGTGTTTGTTCTTAAAACCGTCTGTACTATTTATACAGGTTCGGAACAATAATATTACCATGTAATTAAATTTGTATTCATATTTAGCATGAGCGGGTGTCCATGCGGACTTATTTCTCAACAAAAAAAACCTTGTTAAAGATAATATGTCCCTTTTGCAGCCAACATCAAATTATGTAGAACTTTGCTGGAACTATGAATATGTCATGTATGTCCTTCCTGTGAAATGTAAACATTAGCAGTGTCCTAGTTTTCAAATTATGCAGGCATTAAATTGCTATAATATAGCTGCCAGAATTAAGGAATCGATCAGATCAGTCTTTCCCAATTTGTATTATTAATAATGGTCCGTTTTCACTCAAACTTTCAGATTATCTTTAACTGTACATTTAGCATAGAAGTCACTACCTTAGCACCAGTGTCTCTCATCTGAACGATGATACCATTAAGTCCCTTTAAGAATACAAACATGATGCATCTCTCAGGTGTACATGTGCCCCGTTCAGCCAGAATATATTTCTAACGCAGTAATCATTCAGGAAGGAAACTCCTAATTGTTGTCCTGACCCCGGCCGTGTCGATTATTTTGTCCTGATAATTGACCTTCCTGTGTTCACCAAACGACTTGGTCAATAAGCGAAAATGAGAGA